TCACAGGATGAGGAGGTCAGGGGATATATTCCTCCAGCTCGCCCATTGCCGAGTCCCCCTCTGGAAATGCCTGTTTCCCTACCGAAGGCCACAGCCAAGGCAGAACTAGTTTTGTGGGGTAGAAATTGACACAGGTTTTGGACCCTCCTTAGGTATAAAATGAATATCTATTTAGAAGGAGAAGAGAAATCACAACCTTCAAAATTAAATGTTACAAATCACACAAACTTCACAAAATCCATACCCACCGAAGTAATACCTTTTCTGTACATTTTATCTGCTTCTCTTTATTATCATGAAAAGTTTCATCAACTTTGTAACATTTTCAATAGAGGAAAGAAAATTCAGCTTTTTTTTTTTTTTAGCTGCTTGAACACTGTCATCGCTGCATTATTAACATGCCAAACTTTTTTTTATGGGAATATAGTGAAATAGAATTTTTTTCTGCTCAGAGAATATTTCTGTTTTGACCAGGGGGTCAATACAAACTCGACCTTCTGCTTACAATTTCATACATCTGTTGACTGGGAGAATTTTCCACAGACTAGCTTCTGGCTTTGTACACTTCAAATTCCTTCTTTCCCCTTCACTACCCACATACTTCTGGTGGCTAGGGTCCACACGACACATCTGTATGGCAATATGGCTATCTTGCGACTTCATGTCACAATACTTGGGCGAGTTGTCATAGAAGGTACCAGGACTTCTCCTGGTGGCCGTTCCCACACAGCAACACTGACAATAATTGTCCATTGAAGTGACTGGGTTTGGGGAGATATATTTATGCAATTCACAAATTAAACGTATCCTAAACGCAACATCTCCTTAGCTACATTCAAAATACTCCAAAACCACCCAACAGCAGGGAAACGTGGTGAAGGCAAAGTCCTCAAGTAAGAAGAGACAGATCTTATCCAATTGTGGGTTAAATATCTCACTCTTGAAAAATTTACAAAAACGTGTGACCACATGAACACATTGCTAGATACACTCTCGGGGGCCTTTGAAGGGGCTGAGGTGAATGAGTGTTGGTTATAGGCCCTCCTACACCTGCACCTCTCTGAGCTCTGGTATAACCTTGTTCCCTTGCTCCTTTAGCCAAATCTCCTTGGTCGTACCCTTAAATATGTCATCCATCTCCTGCCAGAGTCCATTCTGAGGCACGCCCCCAGCCCTGCCCAACAATGATAATCACAGAGGTAACACTGATCAGGTCTCTAATGTTCCAGTCACTGTGCTAAGAACTTGATGTGTGTTGACTGGTTTGATCCTCATAGCAACCCAAGAAAGTGCTGCAAACACTGTCATGACTTGAGCCTTGCCAGCCAGTTAGTGGTTTTGTGACTTTGAGGCTTAGATGGTTCAAACAACGTGAGCAATTCCCTTGTGGGTAAAATCAGGGTAATCTCTTATATAACCTTGCGAGTGCAGATAGCATTATTAAATGGGGGTGAGTATGTAAAGCACTGATCATAGTTACTCAAGGCAGGTAAGGAAATAAATCCAGCAAGGAGGTTGAGGAACAGCAACCAAAGCACTGAAAGGAAACCAGGAGAGAAATGATGTCATGGACAAAGAGAGAAGAATGAGTGTGGGAGCTGTGAGAAATAGCTCCAAGGGAGCTCGGTTTAGGTCTCTAAATCCAACGAGCAGATTTCAATGTTCACTCACTCGTTAATCAATACAAGCCTACTTATTCAGTGTCTGCTGTGTCCCAAGCATTGTTGAACACTGTGAAGGAGACAGGAAAAGTCCATACCCTCATGGAGCTTACATCCTATTGGTAGAGACAGGCAGTAAATGCATTTATTTGTTTACTTAATTTGTCTTTCTTCATAGCAGATCTCCACCTGAAATTAGAACAGGGTAATGTTGGCAGAGTGACCAGGGAGAAGGTGAATTATTTTACATATGTTGCTCAGGGAGGGGCTCTCGGAGGAGGTGACATTTGAGCAGAGATATAGAAAAAAAAAAAAGCAAATAATGAGGTACACAAATACCCAGAGTTAGGCCATTCCCAATACAGGGAGCATCAAGGACAAGACTCCTAGGCTGGTTCTCCCCACAATGAACAAATTTATGGGGAGGGTCATGTCTCACCCCCTGTATCCTTCTCCCTGCTGATATCCCTTGGTGTACTGTTCATAAATTACATTTTTTCAGTGCTACATACCACCTTCTAGAAGAAAGAGAACTGCACCAGGATCCAGGAAACCCAGGCATGGCCCTGACCCTATCAACAGCTAGACACACGAAAAGAGTTTTCCTCTGGCCACTCACTCAATCATTTCCTGGGCACTTGGCAAAACTCTATGAGCCACTGTTTCACTAGCTATAAAAGGGGGATATTACATGTTTCAGAAAGATTAATGGCTTGTGAACTGAGTGCCCAGAGCAAGTGGCTTGGCCTGTCTGCGAAGGATGGCCCTTGTCTCCTTTCTGGTACACTATCCCCTCTCCCCAAGAGTCCCCAGTCTTCTTCTTCCTCCACCTCCTCTGGTTCCAGGGAAGGAGCCCAGGAACGTGCCTTCTGGGTTTTCCCTTTTGACAAAAAGAAGAAATTTCATGACGAGGGTTAACTCTGCTGCAGACCCCACCAGTGCTGGAACACCATACTCCATGGAGTTCTAATTAATGTGGTCCAGGGGAGCTAACGATGGATCCGGGGCCATGCAACTAAGTATTCCACTTGATGATCTTCATCTCAAACCTCTGTGCTGTGTTAACTGGATGAGTCACTTATCATTACATGGGCTTGTTAGTGAGGCTGCTTTTGTGCCCACGGGAACCAAGTTTGAGGCAATTATGTTCTCCTTTTAGTTTACCCTCCGAGATGGGTTTCCTCCCATCTCTCACATTAGCTGTCTAACTTTCACAAGTCCTTCCTCACTCTCACTCTCCGGTATCCCGTCTGTAATATGAGGGGGCTGGCTAAGTTGGTCTCCAAGATCCTTGACGCAGTTTAATTCCTCTTTTAGTCCATGTTTACACTTCATAATTTCATTAGCTTTTATTTTCCAAATGTGCTTCCATTGTGTGATTTGGGGTCCACTGGTCAATTCTCTTGGTATCATGTTTTTGTTCTTGTTTAAATTTACAGTGAAAAGGGAATTTGGAAGCATCCAAGTAGTTCGTAATTATTATTCTCAGGGCATTAAAAGCGATGCTAAACAAAACCACTCTTTGCGTTAATCCCTCTCACAGCTCATTAGGAATTTCCAACTCATTAAATGAAAATGTGTTGCTACTCTTTCACTTTTTCTCATTATCCAGGCCTAGACTTCCACTATGAATCTATGGCCACGCAAGGACTGATACTGAGCCATGGTCCGGTCTCTTAGCACCTGGTCCAGGCACGTAGGTTAGTTGGCAGAGGGCCTCTGCAAAAGGCTGCAAAACTGTGATGTCAGGGAGTTGGTGACTCATTTATTCTTTCAATAAACAGTATTTATCCATTGTTTCCCTGAAGGGGACTCATTTGCCATCACTTAATTTTTATGGATGTTTGAGAGTCCTTACGAGCAGGCCCTGAAGTGCATACCTGTGCAAGGTCCAGAGAAAGCACCCTGAGAGAGGATCGCCAACATGTAGGTCAGTTAGAGGAGAGAGGACTTGCCAGAGGACACAGAGAGAGAAACCCACCCTCTTCTTACCTCCAGTTGAGTGGAAGAATGTGGAAACAATTTTCACCAGGAATGAGAAGGAAGTGCTGAGAGGATATAATGGCTGAGATGAATTTTTAACAAAGGGTAGAGTTTGTGAAGAACATTCTAGATAGAAGGAACAGCATGAAAAATGCCCAGTGGTGGAAAAGTGATTAAATGTTTGGAAAACAGACAGTATTCTACTTGGCTGCTATGTGGTAGATTTATTCTTTCAACAAAGATTTTCTGTGGATAAACTTTATCTATCTTAAAGTATATGCACTTATTTCCAATCTTAATGGCAGATCATTTGACGTAAGACTACCTGATGCAATGAAGACATTGATATTGAAGTGTGTTTCAAACTAACTGCTCTCTCAGCTGCCAGGAGGGAATGAAAACCATACAAGGTCATCCAGCTCTCTATGCAGCTTTCATTACAATGTGGTTGGAGATATGCTAACATTCCATATAATCCTTCACCTCTAGCCCACAAAATACTTTTCCTTGCTTATTCTTCTCCATGAATACAGGACCTGTGGATTAGGGGAGAATTGGCTCAAACACAAAACCAAATGGTTAAACTCTTGGAGAAAGTTGTTCAGTGACAGAATTCAGTTAGGGTGGTCTAACTAAATGACCACCTACAGTGATCTAAGCATCACTTCTCAGGTGCCCCTGTGAGATGAACTCCAGAACACACATGAGCATGAGGAGAAGGACTTTGAGAAAGTGGGCTGGGTACACAAATGCAGTTCCTTTAGCTCAGTTCTCCTCTGGGTAAGAGCCTACGACCAAACTTGGAATCCAGTTTCCTGTGTCTCCTGCTCTGGCTTCATTGTTCCCAATTTGCATCAGGCAAAAGATGGAGGGATGGAGAATCCCCCTCGACAAGAATCCGAGTATCCTGCGAGTCTGTCTGAAAGCCCTCTTTTTATTTACCCCACTCCCTATCTTTTCATGAACCCCAGGGAAATTCCTTTGTGTGCTGGACAGAGTGATGACTGGGCAGGTGCAAACCAGAGCCCAAGGGGATACAAATCGCTCTACATAGAAAGGGCTATGGCGAGACTAGGGGGAGATGTTGTCGGGGGCGGGGGTGGGGGTCGGGGGGCGGTGTTGAGCCGCCTTATGTGGAGAGTGGAGGAGAGGAGGGCTTGATGCCAAGGAAGAGGAGAGAAGATGGCTGATATTGGGAGAGAATTTGAGAGGAAAGAATAGAAAGACTTAAAGGGAGTTTGTGTGAAGTTTGTCAGGTTACTTAGGTTGTAAACCTCTTCCCTGCTAATCACAAAAATGTCCAGTAAGTTCTCATTTCTTGCTCAGGCAGTCTGGAGCTGAGGCAGCCCCTGTGAGGTGTTGAAGTACTGAGTCTTGTTTAAAGAAGTAGTAGGGCCCAAAGAGACTGCTCATAAGGACAAAGAATTATTTTTTACTCTCCCAGCATGGGCTAAATTACCAGCTGGTCTCGGTTGGGGTAAAGAATCATCCTGGATCCCAAACTAAAGAGGTCTCAAACCCAGGTACAAGATGTGTTGACTGGGTTGCCTGTGTTTCTGTAGAGGCATGAATTCAGATCAAATGACCTCACTCAGGACCGGTACCTGGAATGAATCACAGTAAAGACTTCTTTCTCCATCCTCTTCCTTATTACCCCAGGACCTTGGGTCTCTCATCTGGGTGACTGCAAGCAACCACCAGCCAGCTGGTTGCTCTCCTGTAGGCCTATATATCCTCCCAACCCCACCAGTACCATCTTCAGAACCAGACAAGAGCGCTCCTCCCCTAGGTCCTACACTTTGGAGAGCCTCAAATATCACAAACACACAGTTGATTTAAATGAATTTATTTCAAGAACGCCCGGGAACCTCAGTTGGGATCAGAGCTGGCAGAGAGTAACCCATAACTCGAAACATCCATTCTCATGACCGACACCATTCAGGCCCAGAGAAGCACCTCTCGTCTCCTGTTTGATGTTCTAAGAACAAAGATGACTATGTCTGAATGCCAGCTCTGTGGGCTGTGCTGCTGCAGAGACTACTCAACAGGGTATGGGGCTATTTGAGCTGTGGACGCGCTTAGATACGAGAAAATAACTTGTCAAATCCTTCTGCTCAGCAAGCATGAATGCAATAAATTCTTTCCTAACAAACAACCAGTTCCTAGTATTGTAGAACATACATTTTATTGCTTTTCATTATACATGTGGTGCCAGAGGACTATAAATACCACAAAACTATAAATACCACAAATTACCGTGGTATTTATAGTTACAGGTGGTGTCTGAGAAACATTTCCCAACATACAATTCATTTTGTTCCTATATTTTTACATATGTGGATCTAGATGTAACGTGTGTGAAGCATGGTACCAATTCTGTGCTTTGGAGACTGAATGGATGTGAAATATTAGATTTTCAGTTAGTTTTATTTTTATAAAAAACGTTAATGTCATTAAATTATATTTTTAAATATATTTATGCATTTAAGTAACTTAAAATTAAAATTTTATATTTGTAAATCTTTTTACTTTCCATTTAATTTTTATAGATAATGTTAATATTTTTTAACTTTATTTGAAAATATGTGAAAAATTTTTTTTTATATTTTAATATGTTTAGGTCATTTCTGTCAATAGAATACAAACTATGTAAAAATCATAATTATAAAAACATAACTAGTGATTTAGCTGCATTGAAGGCAAGATAGTATGGAATGGTAATTAATCATTTATAAGTCATGTATATGTTTAATTTATTACTCATCTAAACATTGCCAGCCCATCAGCAGAAACAGAGACGTGCATAATTAAATGTGGTCATCTTTGATATTTTGCTGGCATTCAGTCATATAAAGCCATAAGTTTTCACATATTTTTTGATTTTCTTGATATGAGAATCTACTTGTCAAAGTACAGGGATAGAACACATGAATCAAGCTAGCCAATTATTAAGTAAAGGACTTGAGAATACTTGCACACATGTATCTGAGCCTCCATTTGGTGTTTGTACAAGGATTGAAAAAGTTGGGGCAGGCCTATTACCCTCAACGTGACCTGGTGCCTCCTTGGGCTGCAGTGGAGACATCAACCTACATCTAGTTCACTCAGTGGTCAAGTTCTTTGCCTAAAGAGCTTGTTTGCTTGAACTGTAATCCTTCTTTGAGTGCTTTTGCTTCTATTTGACTTATTGCTCTTTTGTAGTTGGCAACACAAAATGAAAGTAATCGGGCATTTTAAAAATTAAAGATAATTTCATTTCAGGTGTGTGGGTGTGTTTGTGCATCCTAGGGCTGCCATAACAAAGTACCACAAACTGAGCGGCGGAGAACAGCAGAAATACATTCTCTCACAGTGCTGGAAGCTAAAAATCCAAAATCAGAAAGTTGGCAGGGCCATTCTCTCTCCAAAGTCTCTAGGGAAGAGTCTTACCTCGTCTCTCTAGCTTCTGGTGGTTGCCAGTGATCTTGGGTGTTCCTTGGCTTGTAGATTCATGACTTCAACCTCTGTCTCAGTCTTCCCATGGCCTTCTTTCCTGTGTCTTTGTGTCCGAATTTCCGTCTTCTCTGAAGGACAGCAGTCATATTGGATGGGGCCCACCCTCATCCAGCATGGCTTCATCTTAACTGATTACATCTACAGAGACCCTACTCCCAAATAAAGTCTCATTCCTAGGTTCCTGGGCTTGGGACTTGAAAATATCTTTTTGGGGGACACAGTTCAATCCACAACATACATGTTGTGCACAGTGTGTAGTTTCTCTGGTATCTACTTTTGGAACTTTTAGTCTACAATCTGGCCTTTAAAACAAACAGTTTTCAATATGCCGAGAAAAATGAAAGATGGTAGGCCCTTTTGTTTTTCGATAGGAAGTCTCAATATTAAGGTTTTTTCATATAGGTCCTGTACATTTCTTAGGCTTATTCCTATGTGTTTAATTCTTTATCCTAGTAATCTAAATATGCTCTTTTCTTCCACTGTATTTTAACTGTTTCTTATTTGCATATCTTTTTTTTTTGAACTCTACTAATTTCTGTATAGTAAAGTTGCAACTAGCCACATTTCTGGGGTTAGTATTGGTATATGACATGGCTGATCCCAAGAAAATCCATGGAAAATTAGTATAAAGATTTAGAAATAATTATGGCAAATAATTTTACACAATTCTTTCTTATTTGTATTCTTATTTTCATTTTTCTGTTTAATGCTTTTCCTGGTACATTCAGAACAATAATAAACAGTACTAGTGACAGTATCAGTTTTTTTCAATGTTTCACTCTCAACCAAGCTGGTGACTTTGGCCTGAGAAATTGGAATGTAATGATACTTACTATATGTCACAATCTACTATATTTCCATATGTATATGGTTTATGTGTGAACATACTATTCTATACCATTGATACGGGTTTTTCTCCTGTATTGCACTCTTAATTATTGAACCTTGATAATAAACTTTAACATCTACTATCTAATTACTTTTCAGGAATGGTTTTTGAATATTTTTCAAATGGCTTTTCCACATTAAGAGGATCATATGCTTTTTTTCCTTGGGACTGTTAATGAAGTGAATCATTGAATCCTGTATCCCATTTAATTGATTTATTATTGATACTATTATTAAACCTAACAAAACACAGCCTATATGTGTGGTCATAGTGGGCTTCCTAATATTTCACATTGATCTAAAGACCTGCCACCCAAAGTATTGCTTCTTAAAATTAATAGCAAACACGTCATGTCATCCCTAGACAGTTCAGTAGGCATCTCTTTAAAAACTGGTCATTTTCTTACATAAATCAGAGGATTATTATTACACCTAACAAGATTATAAATAACTCCTTGGTATTTATATGAATAACTCTAGTCTACATTCAAACATCCTCAATAGTCTCAAAACACATTGTTCAAATTAAGATCTAAACAAAGTCCTTACATTACATTTGATTGTTATTTCCTTAGCTACCTGACCGGTTCCCACCCTTGGCTCTGAACACAATTCTAAACAGTATAAGGAGGAACTGAATTTGGGGCAGCTGGGCTAGGGCTAACTTCATGTGACTTACATGAAGCCTACAAGAATGCTCTCAGCCCCACATGAATTATAGCTGTCTTTTCAGATTAAAGTTTTGGCCTGCAGATTTGGCTAAGAAACAGTTAAAACAGGGACATCCATCAATGTCTAGTTGGCCACATAGGAAAGATTTGCCTATTTGGAAGGGAGACTTAACCAAAGCCCCCTTCTTCTCCCATAATCTGCCTCAGCCTCACTTTGCCAAGGCAATGGCTGCATGTGCCTGGAACACGTTAACCTCAGCCATAGACCCTCACAGAGCTCCTGCTTACTAAGTCCTAATCAAATAAAAACTGATCAAATAAAAACAGCTGTTTGCTTGGGAACAATAGAGAAATAAGCTCTGTCCCACCAACTGCTATTGTATTAAAATATGAGGTATCCTGAAATCAACAATCCAAAGAGGCTTATGCACCCCTATATTCATTGCAGCATTATTCACCATAGCCAAGAAGTAGAAGCAACCTAAGTGTCCCTCGACTGACGATTGGATTAAGAAAATGTGGTATATATATACAATGGAATACTACTCAGTCATAAAAAAAGACAAAATCGTCCCATTTGCAACAACATGGATGGGCCTGGAGCGTAAGTGAAATAAGCCAGAAAGAGAAAGACAATCACTGTATGATCTCACTCATATGTGGAATATAAACCAACACATGGACAGAGAAAACTGTATTGTGGTTACCAGGGGCAGTGGGGTTGGGGGGTGGGCACAAGGGGTGAAGGGAGTCATATATATGGTGATGGACAAACAAAAATGTACAACCCAAAATTTCACAATGTTAGAAACCATTAAAACATCAATAAATAAAAAAATATATATATACGAGGTATCATGGCCAGCTAAACCCAAAGCCTTGATCTTGCTCCTTATTAATTTTATTCCCAGCCACCAGAATGTGCATCTCAAAGTCCCTGGCCATTGGATCAAGATATTAATATTAGTTGGCCTTTCTAAAAGGCCTTTTATCCACTCCCAAATTTGGAGTAAACAGACAGATGACACATAAATCTGACAGAGTTAAACATGTCAACTTCATTGCTGACACAACTAGATTGGAGGATGCAGTTCATATGTGTGGTCATAATGGGCCTCCTAATATTTAACATTGATATAGAGACCTGACGCCCAGTCACTGACCCTATTGGATGAAGATAGTCTTCTCTTACAGGACCAGTCTACCCCTGTAAATGCCCCACAGAGGAAGCAGCAAAGAGCATGCATCCTGTGGGCAAGGTGAATCCAGGAGAGAAGGAACATCAAGGTGGTCAGCCAAGCCTAAGCACGACAA